CTACACGCCTCTATTCCTACATACCTCTATCTATACTTGCCTCTATCTATACTTGCCTCTATCTATACTTGCCTCTATCTATACTTGCCTCTATTCCTACATGCCTCTATTCCTACACGCCTCTATTTCTACACGCCTCTATTCCTACATACCTCTATCTATACTTGCCTCTATCTATACTTGCCTCTATCTATACTTGCCTCTATCTATACTTGCCTCCATTCCTATATGCTTCTATTCCCACACGCCTCTATTTCTGCACGCCTCTATTCCTACTTACCTCTATTCCTATATGCCTCTATTCCTATATACCTCTATTCCTATATGCCTCCATCTATACTTGCCTCTATTCCTATATGCCTCTATCTATACTTGCCTCTATTCCTACATGCCTCTATTCCTATACGCCTCTATTCCTACTTACCTCTATTCCTACATGCCTCTATCTATACTTGCCTCTATTCCTACATGCCTCTATTCCTACACGCCTCTATCTATACTTGCCTCCATTCCTACACGCCTCTATCTATACTTACCTCTATCTATACTTACCTCTATTCCTATATGCCTCTATCTATACTTGCCTCTATTCCTACACGCCTCTATTCCTACATGCCTCTATTCCTACACGCCTCTATTCCTACATGCCTCCATTCCTACATGCCTCCATCCATACTTGCCTCTATTCCTACACGCCTCCATCTATACTTGCCTCCACTTATACTTGCATCTACTCTCTTGTAATCTCTAAAATCTTCGTACCTTTATTCATCCCCGCCTACACAATCTGCTATGTTTTTATAATTACGTGACGGAAGCTTCTAGTCTTAGGCCTACTAGGCGCGTTTGTATCATCCTTTACCGCGGTTCTCTTATACACTGTCTATGTTTCTGCCTATAAGACTACCTTTTGATTCTAGCAAGATTCTCTGTCACACTACCACAACTCACTCTCGTTAACCTAATTAACGATATATCTAGAGTATAGTAGCGATATAGTAAGCATACTGCAATTAATAGTATCCTTAACTTTCTAACACTTTATAGTTAAACACAATGCCGCCACGAGCCTTTTTTGCAAGCGTGGAGGATATCTAAGACCCTAAGGCCAAGCGGGACTGCATTTAGCTGCTAGGTGTGCATTCTCCCAACATCACAGTCGACCAGGCTTACGCGTACCTCAAGATCCATCATTTCGACTACAAAGCCGCCAACAGAGACATTTCGCTGCATAGGATTGCTTATTTCTGGCCTGGCTTGTCTTCCGCGGCCGCAGAGGCTTTGCTAGATAGCGAGAATGACTGCAACCAAGTCATGTCTGGTTTAGAAGAGCTAGTGAATGCAGGCGTGCAGTTTAAAGTCCTAGCAGACAAAGTGTCCACCGTCTTAAAGTCCCACCTGCATCTCGTGTATCGCCCCTCGATTTTCCGAGTCACCTTCTACTCTAACGCCCACCGCAAACTTCGTGAGCCCTAGTACTAGATAGACGGATTGTACATATACAAGATGGTAGCCCTATGGGGCGTTCATGACAAGGCCATGAGGGCCAAGGTGGCCCGAGTCTAGGAACTCTACATACAAGGGTGTCGTTCCGGTCTGCTATGCGATTTTGAGGAGGGATCTATCATCAACGCCCTTAGGCTGCAGCCATCTATCTCCAATGCTGCCCGTCTTCTCTAGAAGTGGCACGATGTGGGCAACTGCCGATGCGATCTGTAAGATAACACTTACCATTAGCATAGCACAGAGGTATTCATGCAGGCCTTAAGGGAATATGGAAATGAGTGGGGTTATTGCAGAGATAGATGACGGAAAGGAATAGCTAGATGGCCTACACTACTAAATTTAATATCTACTTTGACTTTGGCTTCTTAAAGGTGATGCGCTGCAATATGATACACACATATTGCCCGTGTAAGGGGCTCGACCCCGGAGGGTAGTCTTAAGCTCGGGAGCACGATCGGACAGGCCAAGGTAACAAGATTGTATTCGATAGAGAGCTAAGCTCTCGGCTACGTAGCTATCTATATACAATGCTGGTTGCTAGGGTAACAATCAGGCCGGGCAGGTGGAGTAAACGAGGTCGTAGACGAGTATGGGAGGCGAAG